GAGCTTATTACATGGAGGCAAATTGCTTTAATCCCATGCAGAAACAGGTTTTTAAAATAAAACATAAAAAAGCAAAAGAGGGTTGTTTTCAGACATATTTCTGTAAAGAAGAAATAATGCAACATTAACCTGAATGGAAAGTCACCAAAACCCAATCCTTTTTACTTTCAGAATTTCCCGAAAGTAAAAAAGAGCGGGTTTTGTCAACTTTCCATTCAGGTTATTTTCGTGTTATTTCTCTTTCTTGCAAACATCATCTGAAAAACAACTCACAATTGTGGGTTTTGCCTTTCGGGTTAACCCTGAACATCATGTGAAAGCAAAAGTGGGTTGTTTTCACTTTAAATCTAGTTTCTGCATGGGATTCATCCCGTGAAATAAACTCTTTAATTTGGTTTTGTACCAGGACTCTTTACAATCTCTCTCTCTAATGCAATATATATATATATATATATATATATATATATATATATCATTCATTGTATGACTGTATATTCCATAATGTTTTATGTTGCACATGTTCTTATTTTGTTTATATTAAGTGCTGCTATGCATCCCTCAAACCTTTTTTTGTTTTAGTATTCGTCTTTTGACTGGTCGTTGTTGTGTGCCTTCAGGTCATTTCTGACATGGCCACCTTAAAGTGAACTTCTCATGGGGTTTTCTGGGGCTGACAGTTTGTGACTCAACTAAGCTACCCCTTCTTCACTTATTCTTCATTTATTAATTTATTAAAATATTTCTATCCCACTTTCTGTCCTGAGATTTCCAGGCATGAAAGCATTACACATAATTTAAAATAATTCCAGGTAAAAACAATAAAATGAATTCAATAGAATAAATGGATATTAAATAAATCACCAAGTCAAAACTACAGAAAAAGCTAAAACAGTTAGTATTAGGAACAGAACCTTTTCTTTATATACATAGTGTTCCATATAAAAAGTAGAATTAGACATGGATGGCATTGTTTTGCTGTACCCTGACTCATCATCAATTAAAAGTGAGGTTGTAGTTAAGAAAACAGAAGAAAAATTAGAATGGCACCTATGAAGGCACTCAACAAGATGTTCAAGGGTCAAAATTTATCACTAAGTCCCAAAGTCAATCCACATCATAGTATTTCTGATCTCTGTGTCTGGCTGTGGAGGTTGGACCATGAAGAAACTCAACTCACAAAGATAATAATAATAATAATAATAATAATAATAATAATAATAATAATAATAATAAATTTACACATGGTACGAGAGATATGTGGAGATGTGGTTTAAATTCCAGATGTAACCCCATTAGTGTGCAGCACTTATCACTGGCAACCTATGGTCCAAGCAGGGAGATCATTCTGTGGTTTGGACAATGCACCACCAACAACACTTCTTTAAACCAGTAAAATCGCTCTAAATGGGATAAAGTTCAGGATGGAGAGCCAGCATGGTTTAGAGGTTTGAGCATTAGCACTAGGACTCTAGAGACCAAGGTTCAAATCCTTGCTTGGCCATGAAACCCACTGGGTGACCTTGAATAAGTCACACTTTCTCAGTCTCAGAAGAAGGCAAAGGCAAGTCCCCTCTGAACAAACCTTCACAACTTTCTCTTCAAGGAGGTTTTCTTTGTGCTAACCACCATCTGAGGTGAAGTGAATATACTGACCTCTCAAGCAAATCTGTGAAGATATTAAATTTTTAAAAGGTTTCTTTACTACCCCTTGGTCTTCTTGGTGTCATGTTGCTTTATTATCCTGTTTGGATTTTTCAACCTTTCAGAAGACTGTAGTTCTCAGGTGCAAAGCTATTTATATATTTTATACTTTCTCATTCATTCCTCCCCCCCTAATATTTATTAATTGTGATATTTATTGAAAGCTTCAAAGGTCATCGGCAGCACTTTTTGCACTGTTTTCTTTTTAATTCATAGGCCTTTAGTTCATAAGGCCTGAGAGCTCTTAATATTAAACTCAAGACCTTGCACTGGGCCTAAAAATGGACAAGTAACCAGTGCATGCATTTTGAAACTAGGAAGATGTTCAA